CTCCCTCTAGCATTTATCTAGTTGATCGCTATCCCCAAGGTCTCTGTGCACTTTCTTTAGCTTCTCTTTCTTTCTCACTGCCAGGGCCTTCTCAGTCTTTCTCCAGGTTACTCTGCTTCTGACCGCTGAAGATTGCAGCATCTTAGGAGTCTGTTCTGGGCACTCTCTTCTTTTTACTCTCTATGCACCCCCAGAGGATCACACTCAGCCCTGTGGCTCCAGCCACCACCTCTATGCTAATGACTCCAAACCCAGTGGGGCACTGATTTCACTTGGCTCACAAGAACAATTGTTAAAACTTCAGGAATTGGGCTGGTCACGGTGGCTCAGCCTGTAATCCCAGAACTTTGGGAGGCCAAGGTGGGTGGATCACCTGAGGTCAGGAGTTTGAAATCAGCCTGGCCAACATGGTGAAACTCCATCTCTACTAAAAATACAAAAATTAGCCAGATGTGGTGGTGGGCGACTGTAATCCCAGTTACTTGGGAGGCTGAGGCGGGAGAATCCTTTGAACCCAGGAGGCAGAGGTTGCGGTGAGCCGAGGTCGCACCACTGCACTCCAGCCTGGGCGTCACAGCAAGACTCCGTCTCAAAAAAAAATAAAAAAAAGAAAGAAAGAAAAAGAAAAACTTCAGGAATTGTGTGAGCCAGTTGTTAAAGCCATTACACTGTTAAAAATTAAATTATATAAAGTTATAGTTAAATTATGTTAAAAACATAGATAATACTCAAAACACATAACTTCCTAGTTATTTTACTATTATCTGTGCTCTTAAGGTTATTTTTATCTACGTTATCTGTATCACGAAAATTCTAGATAACTGAACCAATTTTCTGTTCAGTGACATCACACTGACAGCTTAGAATCAACTGTAGTGGGTGTATTTTACCCCACAGACATTGGCAAACTATAAATGTAGGTGTTCCTGCCTGCCTGCCCTTCTCCCATCCCAACCTTGGAGAGCCATTCGTGTCATTTGTTAAAGAATTCTGAGTACACTGTGGCTCAAATTTGCACCTGAAGCCAGCCTGGAGTGCTTTCCTGAGCTCTGGGCTCAGATACCCTACTGTCTGCTGGACACCCCCTCCAGCTTGTCTGTCATTCCCCCAGGCAAGCTCATCATCATCTCCCACCAAGCTGCTCCACCCCCTCAATGCCTATTTCATTTTGCAGCAGCATCACTCACTCCATTGTCCAATCCAGAAACCTGGGAATCTTCCTCGACTTGTCCTTATCCCTCTCCCGTAACACCTAATAAGTTACTCCCAAGTGATATTCACATCTCTCCTTCCAGCCCTGCTCCAGCCCCACTGGAGCTTCTGTAGTTCAGGCGTCCTTTTCCCTCCTCTAGAGTCTGCCCCAGCCTCCTACTGATCTTTCTACAGCCAGCCTTATCCTCCTCCAACCCATCTCCGTTTGGCCCCATAAAATGTACATCTCATTAGGTCTCTTGTGCTTAAAATCCTTCAGTGACTTCCCGTTTCCTGTGATCTGAAGTTCAGATACACTTCATTTCATCTTCTTTCTCCCTTCCTCCTTTCCCTGCTCCTCCATCCTCCTTCATCTTTCTTTATCTCATACTCTGGCATCAGGACTTCTTAATCCCAAGCCACAGAAATCACTTCTGGGTGATTTAAGCAGATAAGGAGTTTATTAAATACTGGGCAGCTCATGGGCCAGGTGCAATGGCTCATACCTGTAATCCCAGCACTTTGGGAGGCTGAGGTGGGAGGATCACTTGAGGCCAGCAGTTTGAGGCCAGCAGTTCGAGACCAGCCTGGGCCACCTAGTGAGACCCCATCTCTACAAAAAATAAATAAGTAAATCACAAACAAATACCCCATCTCTACAAAAAATAAGTAAATCACAATCAAATAATAAATATTTGTTAAATTAGTCAGACATGGTGGCATGCACCTGTAGTCTCATCTACTGAAGGGGCGGAGATGGAAGAATCGCTTGAGACCAGGAGTTTGAGGCTGCAGTAAGCTATGATTGACTGTGCCACTGTACTCCAGCCTGGGTGATGCAGTGAAGCCTTATCTCTTAAAAAAAGAAAAATACTGGACAGCTCAAATAATCTCCAGGATAGCTAGAAAATCCACATTGGTGACCACACAGCCTGAAATGATGCCCCAAATCCCACTACCAGGCAGACCCATGAAGAATCCCAACACCATGGCTGGGCATGGACAGTGCAGCTTGTCCTGTTGGTGTTGGACACTCCCACAGTGAGTGTCAGTGCTGCCAATGATCCTTGGCAGGAGCTGCCACCACCACTTTTCCACACCAGAACACACCCCCGCCTCCTTCCCTGCTGCTTCCTGGGACTAGCTTCAGGTCCCAAGTCTGGAGCTGCACCTGTCAGTCACATGTCCTGGTTGCAAGGAAGACTGAGAAAGCAATTATTTGGTATGGTCATCTCTCAGAGGGGAAGGTGGGTTCTGCCTCAGAAGGTGGGGGACCCCTTTAAACATGGGAAGGGGGAATTCTGATGTTGACAGACCAAAAATAATTACAGGTATCCTCCATGCTAGTTCTTTTTTTTTTTTTTTTTTTTTTTTGTGATGGAGTCTCGCTCTGTTGCCCAGGCTGGAGTGCAGTGACACGATCTTGGCTCATTGCAAGCTCTGCCTCCCGGGTTCACGCCATTCTCCTGCCTCAGCCTCCCGAGTAGCTGGGACTACAGGCGCCCGCCACTACGCCCGGCTAATTTTTGTATCTTTAGTAGAGACGGGGTTTCACTGTGTTAGCCAGGATAGTCTCGATCTCCTGACCTCGTGATCCGCCTGCCTCAGCCTCCCAAAGTGCTGGGATTACAGGCTTGAGCCACCGCACCCGGCCACTAGTTCTTAAAATAATACAAGTAAAATACTATCCAAGGGAAGATAATCAAACAGCACCAGGAAGGAAGGCAATGGAATGTGAAACTTCCTTCCCGGAACCCTCTCAGTCCCATTTCCTAGGTGCAACGCCCTTTAACAGTTTTTTCAGAAATTATTACAGATGTGTGGCCAGGTGAGGTGGCTCACGCCTATAATCCCAGCACTTTGGGAGGCCTAGAAGGGCAGATCACTTGAGGTCAGTAGTTCGAGACCAACCTGACCAATATGGTGAAAACCTGTCTCTACTAAAAATACAAAAATTAGCCAGGTGTGGTAGCACATGCCTGTAATCCCAGCTACTTGGGAGGCTGAGGCAGGAGAATTGCTTGAACCCTAGAGGTGGAGGTTGCAGTGACCCAAGATTGCACCACTGCACTCTAGCCTGGGTGACAGAGGGAGATTCTATCTCAAAAAAAGAAAAAGAAAAAAGAATTGTATATCTAGCCATAAATATGCGTATGTTTGTATATAAAGTGTCTGTGTATAATGTATATAGTATGTGATAAGTATGTATATGTTAGTATATAATATATATTTGACACATAGAAAATTATAAATACTTATACATAAAATATAATTCCCTTTGTATCAAAATTGGCTCATTCCACACATTGCAGTTTGGCACCTTGCTTCTCCCACTTAACACCACATCTTGGCACACTCCCGTGTCAGCACACATGGGTCTAGCTCATCTTTCCCAACCATAGTGTGGCACTGCACTGGGTGGACATGCCACAGTTAATTAGCCAGTCCTGTACAGGTGATCATTTAGATCATTTTCAGTTTTTGGCTACAAAAAACCATGCTACAGTGAATCCTTGCACAGATATCTTTGTGTGCATGTACGACTAGAGTCACACGGGATCAATTCCTGGAAGGGGAGCTGCTGGCTCCAAAGGCGCATGCATTTATGCTTTTGGTAAACACTGCCAAATTGCCTTCCAAAATGTCTGCGCCAATTTGCAGTTCTACCAGCGGCCTGGGAACGTTTTTTGTTTGGTTGGTTGGTTGGGTTTTTTTTCTTTTTCTTTTTCTTTTTTTTTTTTTTGCAGTCTGGCTGCTGGTGGCCCCCTTACCTAATTACCTGTCACTTACACACCCTGCATTTCTGGCCACAGTGCCTTTGCCCATGTTGTACCCATAGCCAAAAATTCTCTTTCTCCCTAGCCTGCTAGATGAAGTGTTCCCCTTCCTGCCAGGCCACAGTTCAGATGTCACCTCTTTTTATGTCCTTTCCTGACTCCCCTGAGCTGTCAGAGTCCCTTTCCTCTGGGATACTACAGCTTCTTGGGCATAATTCTATCATAGCACCAACTGAGGGCCTACTGTGTGCCTGGCATTCTGTGATCGTTTTGACAGTCCCCACCATAAACACACAAAAAAGTGGTTTTGTTCTCCACCTCCCTCCATCCTGGCTCTCCAGCTGCGCTGTCTTTTGTCAGCACAGCACTGCTTTGGGGCGTTTGCATTTGCACTCTCTATGGATCTTGTCCTCACCCATTGTGGTGCCATGGTGCCTCTCTGGAGTCTCTACAATTCACCTGCTGGTGGAGGCTTTCCCTGATCACCCTGTCTCAAGCACCCCTCCTCTAGTCCCCGTGTTACATCACCGTTACCTTCACAAATTACAAGCTGTAATGACCTTGTTGCTTTCGATGTTGATCCGTTTATTTTCTGTCCTGTCTTCCCCCGCTGAGCACCCGAACACACACACCTACAAACACCCCCATGGTAAGCTTCCCCAGACCAGGAACCTTGTTTTGCTTTTCCACTGCCTCCAGCCTTGAACCTGCACCACTTGTCTAAGCGCTCAGTAAACATTCGTTGAATTAACCATTCCTGTTTTACAGAGGAGGAAACTGTCATTCAGAAAGGAGAGCCAAGTAGCTCAAGGTCCCACGGTTAATAAAAAGCACAGCTGAGATTCGAGCCCAGCAGAACTCCAAATCCAATCGCGTGATTTCTTCCCCACTCTTCGCACGCCGCATTGTCCCCCTCCTCCACCTCCCAACAGACTACGAGAGTCTCACGGCCGGGGCCCCCAGGGGCGCGTCCCGGGCCCGCCCCGGGAGGCTCATCGGCTACGCGCAGTCACCCTCCCCGCCCCCTGTCAGTCAGGCCGAGGGGGCGGCGCGGCAGCCAGGCGGGTGCTGAGCTCAGAGCTGCCGCAGCGCCAGAGCCGGAGCCGGAGCGCGCGAGCTCGCAGGGCGGGAGGAACTAGCGGTGGCTGGCGACGCACCGGAGACCCGGGCACTGCTGAGCTCCTGCTGAGGACCCGCGACCCAAGCGCCTGACCCCGGCCCTATCCCCACTCCGGCCCCTAGTCCACCCCGGCCCGGCCTAGCGGAGCCCCCACGTCCGCCCGCCGCAGCCACCGTTCCATCCCCAGCCCCGGCCCCGCATCCAGGTGAGGCGGCCGCGCGCCGGGGATGGGGAACGGGATGAGGGTGGAGAGGGGACTGAGGCGGCAGGAGGGAGCTGGGGAAGGGGATGGAAAATGGAGGGGGGTCCGGAGGATGCACATCAGTGTGCACCCCGGAGTATGTGAGTATGCTCCGGTGTTTGCAGCTGCCCGGGCGGCTGTGGGGACGTGTGTCTGCGCCCGTGTGGGTCGGGGTGTTCGTGCGCGTTGGAGCGTCTGCGTGTCCTGTGTGTGCACGTGAGCTTGTCCGTGGTGTGTGTTTGTGTGCATGACCGTGTGACTCTGCCGTGCGTGTACAGGCGGGTCCTGGATCTTCGCGCCGAACCAGCACTCCGGTTCCACGGGGCTGCAGGTTGCAGGGCCCGGATAACAGAGGCAGTGGCCCCTCCCGCATTCCCGGGTTTCAAGGACGCTAGGACTCTCCGCGGCCCTGAGGCTTCGCACTGGGGAGTGGGGTGGGATGGGGGAAAGCGGGACGGGGCTCAGGGTCCAGAAGGGCGCCGCGGTCTCGGGAGGAGGAGGGGACCCACGTCCCTCGGAAGGGGCTGGGGTGAGGGTGCGGGGCCAGAGCACCGGTGCCCGTGTATCGCCCTCCCCAGGTCGCCAGGATGGACGTGTTCATGAAGGGCCTGTCCATGGCCAAGGAGGGCGTTGTGGCAGCCGCGGAGAAAACCAAGCAGGGGGTCACCGAGGCAGCGGAGAAGACCAAGGAGGGCGTCCTCTACGTCGGTGGGCGAGGGGCGGGGTTTCTGGGGCTGCAGAGCTGGGGATCCCCCAAGAGTGTAGAGCTGGGGCCGGGTCCCGAGAAGGGGGGTTCTGGGCAGGAGAATATGAGTCAGCAGATGGGGCGGGGTCAGCAGGGGTCACGGGGGAAATAGCCAGCCCATAGAAGCCTGGGTCTGTATCCGGAAATGGGGACACGGGGCGGGCTGATGAGGGGGAGCTCCAGCTGAAAGGCCAGGGACCGGTGCAGTGATGAAAGCAGAGAACCTCCTTTTTCTTATCCTTATTACCATTATTACTAGTTACCTGGTGTTGAACACTTGCTGTATGCCAAGTACTGGGTAAAATGTCATAACATCCATTTCCTCATTTAATGCTCCAGCCCATTCTACAGATAAGGGAAACTGGGCTTCCCAGAGGTCTAAGTACCTTGCCCAAGGTCACCCAGCTGGTAAATGCTGAAACTGGGGTTTGAACGAGCTTTATAGAGTCGGAAGCCCCACCCCTTCCCTTGTGGCGCCTCCCTCCAGCACCTCCAAGGCTGAGTTGAGTTGTGTTCCAGGTCCGCCTGCATCACCACTCCTGTGGTCTTACCGTTGCCATCTCTCCTCCCCGTCCGCTTTCCTTGCAACCACCGGCTGGTATCAGGAGAAAGGCCAGGGTTAGATAACTTGCCCAGGGTTGTAGCATATTTGGATTGTGGCCATTTGAAAAATATTTTGTGTCCACTTATTATGTGCCAGGCCTCCTGCGAATGCTGGGGTTTCACAATGAACAGGAAAGAATGGTTCCTGCTCTCCTGATGGTGATACAGAGCATTTCAGTAGTGCAAGTTGACATCCAGTGGCTCCCCGAAGAGAATGCCTCATCCCTGAGTAATAAGAGGGGGCAGGGCTGCAGAAAAGCCAGGTGCAAAGGCCCTGGGGTGAGCTGGAGGCAAGGCAGGAAGTAGTGGTAGGAGGTGAGGTCAGAGTGATGGGCAGGAGACAGTTCACGAGGGCCCTTTGCAGGCCAGGGCAAAACGTTGTTATCATGGCCACGAGAGATTGTAAGCAAGGGACTGCCATGATGTGATTAGTTTAGAAAGGTCGCTTGGGCCTCTGGGGACAGAACAACTGCAGAGAGGTCTGATGGGAGATGGTAAAGCCACAGGATGAGGGTGGCAGGGACGAGGGCGGTGGCAATGGAGACCGGGAGAAGGCTAAATTGCATGTCTGCTTGATACCAGCTCTGGCCTCCCTCCTGCCTCCTCCCCAACGTCTTTCATTCCTGCTGGCCTCTGGCTCCCTGACATTGTCTCTCTGATAATAGACTCAGCCCCTCCAAGCCATACTGCTCTTCCCCTTAGATTGGCACTTTCTGTTCCTCCCTCTGCCTGGGAGCCCCTGATGGACCCCAGTTCCTACAAGTTAAAGCCTCGGCTCCCTGTACCCTAGCATTCAATGCCCTTCATGGTCCTGCCTCAATTTACGTTTCCCACCACACCCATGGCTCCTGGCACATGGACTGTCCTGAAAGCACATTGCTCTGCCTTGTCTAAGTGGGTCCCTGGGCCTGGGATACCCTCTGCAATTTCCTTTCTGATGTCTATCTGCTCCCCATTTCTCAAGGCCCAGGCAGTGTTCCTTCCCTCCTCACACAGTCCTTGGAGGCTGGAAGTCCTCTCCCCACTACTTGAGGTCCAGGAACTGAATCTGTTCTCTTACCCACTTTAGACAGTGAGAGATTGGTCCAGGGCCTGGCACAGAGTAGGTGGAAACTGATGTTTTGTGGGAGGAGTGAAAGGGGAGCATGCAGCCTGCCCCTCCTGTTTCTGGGTGCTGGTTGGCCGTCGCCCTGAGAACCCTGTCTTCCCACGCCAGCCTCTCACCCCAACCCCCTGCCAGGCTCAGCCTGCCTAGACACCCAGTTCTGGCTCCATCGCTGTTGTCTGTGTTGCCACATTGTCAGACGGGATACTCCCCGCCCCGTTTCCGGCTCCATCCTCCAGCCCAGATCAGGCCCTCTGGCCTTCCCAGCAGCCCCCAGCCATTTTGATGTGACTAAGGTGCTACCCTCCTAGGAAGGCCCAGCCAATGCCATGGGTGCCAGTCACAATCTGCACATCACCTTTAGACCCACCCTGAGCCTGACACCCCCGACTTTGGCCAGAAGAAGGGGTTTGCACCCCTGTTAGGAGAAGAGACTCTAAAGGAAATGGAATGGGGCAGTGGGCTGTGGGCAGTGGTGCATTGGGCACAAGGGGAACCTTTCAAATATATAGCTTTGTCGCCTCCCAGCTCCACCCCTACTCCCACCCCCCACCTGCCTCCCATCCTGGGCTACATGCTGTTAGAGTGGTTGGTAGCTGAAGTTTGAGGGCCAGAAAGGCCGGGACTTGAATGTCAGTTCAGCCACTTCCTAGTGGCGGAACCCACACTGAGCTTCCATCTGTGGAACAGGGACAATAACAGCACCCGCCTCCCAGGGCTGGGGAAAAGCGAAGTGCAACGGGGCAGGCAGAGGACCTTACACAACACCGGCCCTCAGCCAGCATCCACTAGAGGGGTGGGGTATCGCGTCAGGCAAGAGAGAACTGCAACTCCTGCAGACAGAGCTGTGGGGGCCCAGTGCAGTGATAAGAGGGGGGTTAACATGGGGGTGCAGGTTGTAGGATGTGGGGACAGTGACGGGATGCCCACTTTGTCATCACCATGCTGTGCTGGAGTTTCTGTTCCCTCAGCACAGAGCCCTTAAATGTGCCGCTTTTTCTCCCTGCAGGAAGCAAGACCCGAGAAGGTGTGGTACAAGGTGTGGCTTCAGGTACCAGCCCAGCCCTGGCACCAGCCCCTTCTCTCACTTAGGCCGGTGATCTGGCCGGGAACCAGAGGGCAGGGGCGGGGGAGACCCCCAAGGCTTCTGCGGGAATGCGCTGTGGGAAGGGCAGGTCCCGGGATACAAGGTGGGGCATCGATGGTTCCCCCTTGCTCCCAAACCCCTTCCTCAACCCCCTCCCTGCTCCAGTGGCTGAAAAAACCAAGGAACAGGCCTCACATCTGGGAGGAGCTGTGTTCTCTGGGGCAGGGAACATCGCAGCAGCCACAGGCCTGGTGAAGAGGGAGGAATTCCCCACTGATCTGAAGGTAAGCGATCCTCCTGACCCGCACATGCGCGCACACACACACACACACCAGGCACACAAATAAACCTGTCACCATCCCCGCCCCCCCAGTCCTGCCACCAGCATGGAACACAAGCTACTTTGCCTGCCATCCTGCAGGGCCGTGCTAGACTCAGCTCAGAATGCATCTGAATAAAGGCGTGCATGGGTGTGATGTGTGATGCTCCCAGTGATGGGGACCCCCAGACCTGGCTGTCTGTGTGTATCGTGCTTGCCAGCGTGACCCAGATGACTACTGGCCACGTCTGCATGTGTCAATGATTGTTCATTCATTTCTTTTCATTCAACAAGTATCCATGCCAGAGAGGAATTGTCGTGGAGGCTACCGCAGTGAATAGGTTCCTACGTTCCTGCAGCTGACATTGTAGTGGGGGATGATAGTAAAACGCAAGCCAGCAGGCAGGATGCTTTCCACGGGGATAAGTGCTACAGAGAAAAGACAGAGAGAGCAATGGGACAGACAGGCAAGGGGTAAGAGGGCTATTTTATTCAACTGGTTCTTCTCTGAGGAAGAACCAGTTGAGCTGAAACCCAAAGGATGAGAGAGGCAGCCTTGAGATGTGTGGCAAGCGAATTTCAGGCCATAGGAACAGCAAGTACCAAGGCCCTGAGGCAGGTTGGAGCAGGTGGGAGCTGTGCTGGGGTGGGTGTGATCTGTGCAGTTGTGTTTCCTGGGGGCCACTCATGTGTGCATGGAGACAGATCCCCCTACTAGGACTCCCTGATAAAAGGGGATTAAGAGTTGTGAGCTCTGAACCCACCTACCCCTAACCTCAGCTGGGTTTGAATCCTAACTCCGCTACTTCCCGGCTGCGTGACCCTGGGCAGGTCCCACCATGTCTCTGAACCCGATAGTTTGCTTGTAAAATGTGAGTGAACACAATAGGACTCTTATGCAGATTGGAGATAATATAGATTAGATATTCTCAAAGCTTGAGTGTGTATCAATCACCAAGAGGCTGGGTTAAAATACAGATCATTGGCCCCATCCTTACAATTTCTGATTCAGTAGGTCTGAGGTGGGGCTGGAGGATTTGCATTTCTAACAAGTACCCAGGTGATGTTGATGCTGCAGTTCCAGGGAGCGTACTATGAGAACCATGGATGTAAAGAGCTGGGTTTGCATACTGTGAGTGCCCCGCAAGAGACTGTGGCCACGTGATCACGCAAGCAGTCTGTGTCTGCCTGCAGGGGATCCTGTGACCACAGGTGTGCCTGGAAGTGGACCCCCATGACATGTGTGTGCAGGCATTAGCTGTGGATGCTCTGTGCCTGTCCACGGACATGTGCAGACCCTGCCTCCATGGGGATGGGGGCTCCTTCTGCAGCGTTTGGTTTGGGTGACCAGTGTACGTTCAGCATGAGTGCATCCACCAGGCTGTGGGAGACCCCATGCTGCCCTCCACTCCTGCCATTTTGCATAGTTGATTCCTTCCACTGTTGGAAGTCAGGGTCTTGACTCAGAAGTTCTAGTTCCAGCCCTGTCTCTTTTCTATTTTTATTTATTTATTTATTTTTGAGATGGAATTTTGCTCTTGTTGCCCAGGCTGGAGTGCAATGGCACAACCTCTGCCTCCTGGATTCTAGAGATTCTCCTGCGTCAGCTTCCCAAGTTGCTAGGATTACAGGCACCTGCTACCACGCCCGGCTAATTTTTTGTGTTTTTAGTAGAGACGGGGTTTCACCATGTTGGCCAGGCTGGTCTCGAACTCCTGACCTCAGGTGATCCACCTGCCTTGGCCTCCCAAAGTGCTGGGATTACAGGCATGAGCCACTGCGCCCAGCCATGACTTCCCATTTCTTATAATCATGTTACCATAATCACTCCCATTCATTGATCTCTTTCATGAACAGGCACTGTCCTAGATGTTTTACATGAACTAACTCATTGACTCTTCACAATGTACCTATATGGCACCATAACCAGCCCATTTTACAGATGAAGACACTGAGGTTTAGAGAAGTGAAGTCACTTGCCCAAGACCCCAGTTCCTGCCTGCCTCCCTCATAAGGTGGTCAGGAGGATAAGCTCAGGCCATGTCACTGGAGTTGCTTGGTGATGGCACAGGGCCAGTCCTAGTGCTGTGAGCTGGGGTGCAAAAGAGAGGCAGGTGCAGCCTCTCTGTCAGCCCCAAGGCTGTTTGTGATGTGGGTGGTTGAACAGAATCATTTCTGTCTGGTCACCTTTCACCTACTGGTGCTTGTTGACGCCTCAAGTCTACCCTCCCAAGGGAGCCCAAGATCGTAGAGTTATAACCCAGACAACAGCTCCTTGGGCACCAGCAGCATGGGGGGACTCATGCAGACCCTGGGTCTGCATTTCTGAGACTCTCTGCTTCAAGCTTGCTTTCCATCCATCATCATGGAATCCTCACCAGCCTCGTTTCCCATGCAACGCTGCTGAGAGTAGAAGCAAAATCACTTGCCTGATGCCAGGTAGCTACCAGGTGGCCAGGCTGGGGTTGTTTGTTTGTTTTCTGAGATGGGGTCCTGCTATGTTGCCCAGGCTGATCTTGAACTCCTGGGCTCAAGCAATCCTCCTGCCTCAGCCCTCCAAGTATCTGGGATTACAGGCTATGGGATTTTTTTTAAGTGAACTTTTTATTGAAGTACAATGTACATGCAGAAAACTGGCAGCTCCATGAAATATTCACAAAGGGAATTCCCCTTGTAACCAGCAGCCAGCTCGAGACAGAACATTATCCCCCAGGACCCCACCTTGTGACCCCTTCCAGTTCCTATCCCCAGGGCCAGGACTAGGGGGAGACAAAAGAGGTGTCTGGGGAACTCGCTCATGGAGTCTCACTTGCACGGCCAGGAGAGGGAGGCCAGGCCTCCCTGACGTCTGCACTCCAGGAGCCTCACCCGCCTCCCATTAGTCCTGGCCCTGCCTATCCCCCTCCAAGGGGAACTGCTTTCTGACTTTTTGTTTTAGATGGAGTCTCACTCTGTTGCCCAGGCTGGAGTACAGTGGCACAATCTCAGCTCACTGAAACCTCCACCTCTTGGGTTCAAGCGATGCTCCTGCCTCAGCCTCCTGAGTAACTGAGACTACAGGCATGCACCACCATGCCTGGCTAATTTTTGTATTTTCAGTAGAGACGGGGTTTCATCATGTTGGCCAGGCTAGTCTCAAACTCCTAACCTCAAGTGATCTGCCCACCTCGGCCTCCCAAAATGCTGGGAGTGGTAACAGGCATGAGCCACTCTTCCTGGCCTTGCTTCCTGGCTTCTATCAGCACAAAATTAGTTGGGTGTTTTTTGACTTATTGTAAATGTTATCATGAGGCTGGGCGCAGTGGCTTATGCCTGTAATCCCAGCACTTTGGGAGGCCGAGGTGGGAAGATCACCTGAGGTCATGAGTTTGAGAATAGCCTGGCCAACATGGCGAAACTCCATCTCTACTAAAAATACAAAAATTAGCCGGACATGGTGGCACATGCCTGTAATCCTAGCTACTTGGGAGGCTGAGGCAGGAGAATTGCTTGAACCCAGGAGGCGAAGGTTGCGGTGAGCAGAGATTGCACCACTGCACACCAGCCTGGGCCGCAGAGCAAGACTCTGTCTCAAAAAAAAATGTTATCATGAAGTCCATGCTCTTCTATTCTGTATCTGGCTTCCTCCATTCATCAGGAAGCTTGTGAGACTCAGCCCTGCTCTTGTATGCATTGTTGTTCTTCATTCTTGTTGTGTAGTATTCCATTGTGTCATTAGCTCACAAGGCACACATCCATTCTTCTCATGTTGGACATTTGGGTTGTTTCCAAACAATGTGCTCAAGCTGGCTTTTTTTTTTTTTTTTTTTTTTTGAGATGGATTCTCACTCTGTTACCTAGGCTGGAGTGTGCGATCTTGGCTCACTACAACCTCCGCCTCCCGGGTTCAAGCTATTCTCCTGCCTCAGCTTCCCAAGTAGCTGGGACTACAGGCATGCGCCACAGTGCCCAGCTATTAAGCTGGCATTTTAAACACTACATTCCATCCCTGGGTTCTGGTCATAGCTGGGTGACTTGGGGGCAAAATAACGTTTCCCCACCTCCTAGGCCTTGGCATACCCATCTGTGCAGTGGGGAAATGAGCCAGGTCAAGAGCTGGAAACTCATGTGCCCACAGGGCCCACCTAGACAGGTAATGTGAAGGAGCTGACGCTGCCTGGATGGGACTGGGACACCCAGGGTGCAGATGTGGTCAGGGCAGGCCTTCCTCGGCACCATTGCTCCTGGATCCCAGGTGTGTGCCAGCCCACAGGAGGCCCTGCACAGGTTGTACATGGATCCCAGGCTGTCGCGTGTGCTTGTGTGTGCAGCCAGCTCGGTCCCGTGTTTGTTCACATACATGTGGTCGTCTGCAGGTGTCTGGCCATGTGTCTGGCAGCCCACCCACATGCATGCCCGCTGGTCTGCGCCTGTCTGGGCAGCAGACGCAGTGGGGAGGGGAGAGTCTTAGCTCACACATCCAAGCAACACCACGAGCTGTGGCTTCCAGCTTATCTTAAAATAGCAACAGCTGAAGAAATGAGGCCACACAGGGCCTGGGGGAGGGATGAGTGGAAGGTAGCAGGGAATGGCTCAGAGCCCCTGCCCAGCCCTGTCCCTGAGCCTCCAGCTCCCTTCAGCCCAGGGGAAACCCCAGGGTTATCTCTGGGGTCCCGATGCCCAGCACAGAGCCTGACACAAAGGGTGAGGCATAAGCTGGTGACTGAGTATCCAAATGGTGGAAGTGCAGAGGCCACCATGCATGGGGGGAGCACTGTGGAGAGCCAGCTCCCGCTCCACACGGTCACTTCAACTGTGATTCAGGGGAATTTCCCCCTTAACCTCCCTCCCACTTCCAAGGCATTCCAAATAAACAGCTGAATTAGAAATTATCCTTGCTCTGCCAACCCACCCTAGCCTTCCCCACTCCAACCAGCCCAAAGCTTCCCAGTGTGGGAATTTGGGGGGCATCCTGGCTGTCCTCACCAGCCCTGCCCTTCTCTGCCCACAGCCAGAGGAAGTGGCCCAGGAAGCCGCTGAGGAACCGCTGATTGAGCCCCTGATGGAGCCAGAAGGGGAGAGTTACGAGGATCCACCCCAGGTGAGGGGGCAGCAGGGCTGGGCGGGACTTTGGGAATCCAGGATGATTGCTGCCGTCCCTAGCTGGGGTGGGACATCCCTGGCATGAGATGGTTGGGCCAGGGAGCTTGACACCCTTCTTCTAGAACCCAGGCCCCAGGAGGTGGGAGCAGGGAGGAGAGGGCAGATAGGGTCTAGCGCTGGGCCCCAGGAACCCCTGCCCAGGAATTCTCTGCTGTCCCCAACTTCCAGGCTCCTCCCCTGCCCAGGAAAAGGGGAAGGTACTATTCCTCCTTGAGGGAGAGGGTTATTGGGCCAGGGCTTGGCCATTTGGTCTCCAACTCCTCCTCCCTTTTGCTCTTCTCTACTTCACCCCCATCCCTGTGATGCAGGAGGAATATCAGGAGTATGAGCCAGAGGCGTAGGGGCCCAGGACAGCCCCCACCAGCAGCACAATTCTGTCCCTGTCCCTGCCCCGCCCCCTAGAGCCAGGGCTGTCCTTTGACTCCTTCTCCCCAATCACGAGATCTTCCTTCCGCTCTGAGGCAACCTCCTCGGAGCCTGTGTTAGTGTCTGTCCATCTGTCTGTCCTACCCACCCACGTCCAACCCTGGGGCGTGGACAGGGCCGGGGTTGCGGCCGCGGCTGGGAGCCTCGCCCCTGCAGTGTTGCCTCCTCCCGTCCAGCGTCTGCGCGGATGTAGCATGTTCTATGTGTTTTTAAACGAAGATCCGAAGCGACGGCTCCTCCCCGATCCCCGACAGTGGCTCTCCAAGGGGCCCCCGGGCAGCCTCAGAGCACCCCGCCCCACTCCCATTAACTCCGAGAACATTTTTTTTTAACCAAAACCAGGAGCCAGGCTGTGCCATGTCCCCCCTCCCACCGCCCCCAGCCGGCCCGGTCCGAACGCGGGCGTCGTGTGTTGTGATTGTGGCATGGAGAGTCCCCATCCCCCCCGTGTGAGCGTGTCCCGGGCGGGTGGGCCCGGCCGCCCCCCGCGAGTCCATGAATAAAGCTAATCTGTCTGTAGCCGGCGCCGCACGGGCAGGGCTGGGCTGGGCGCCGGGTGGGGGCGGCACGTGGCGGCGGGTGTTCCAGGTCCCAGTCTGCCCCTCTGCGCTCTTCGGGGTCTGGCACACACAGCCGAGGTACAAGACTGGCCACCTCTGGCTTCGTGTCTCCATCTTCTACTCTGTCCCCCGATGGCAGGTCGGGGAGGGTGCTCCCCGGGCTGGGAGGCGGGAAGGTGGCCTCGGGCGCCGCCTGCTAGTCCCTAAAGTGCCAGCTGGGAGTGCAGGATCTAGGGAAGCCCCATGACGCCGCAGTGTTGGGGCGGAAGGGCTCACATCTGGCCGCACAGGCAGCGCAGGCGCGCCGATGCCCACTCACGTGCGGACCCCGCGTGCCTGTCCGTGGGTCCAAGTGCGCGAACCCGAGTGTGCGCACTCTGGCCGCGCAAGCGTGCAAACACGCGTGCACGCACGCTGGCCAACACGTGCAGACCAGCGCGCTCCCATTCGAGCGCTGAAAGACCTCTCCCACTCCAGAACGTGGACACGCACAAAGCCCCGCGCATACCTACCCAACGCAGAAAAACCTGTCTAAGGGGAGGGGAAATGGGCAACTGCCCCTGGAACCAGCAGAGCCCTGGCCTCCGGTGCTCCACCCTCCCACCCCCACGAAGGCGCCGGAATGTTTGAGGCCAAAAGTTTGAGGTGGGCGAGGGCCCGCAAAGGTCTGGGATGCCGCCTGGGAGCCTTGAGCGGATCAGGATCAGCACTAGGGGGCCCCCAACACCGCCTCAGAGTGAGACAGATGGAGGCGGAGATACTGCTGACTCCGCGCTGAGGCACCGCCCCCCCATGTGCTGCCTTTATTGGCACAGGCACTCCCCGCTCGAGGCCCCGCCCCTGCCCTCTTGCCGCAGAGGCCTTATTTCCGCGCTTGCACCGAGGCCCCGCCCCGTCCCGCAGAGGCCCCGCCCCCACCCGGACGGGATATTGGCGTGGCTGTGCCGCAGAGGCCCCCAAACTCGCCTGCGCAAGACCCTACCCTATTCTAAACCTCGGTGCGACCTCAATTCCGTGCCGCAAGACTGCGTCGCCCTCCAGCCCCTAGCTGGAAGAAGTTTGCTCTATTCAGTTAGCCCCCGAGTGTTAGCGCCTCTTTCCCTAAGTTGTTGGAGGCGAGAAGTGGTGCCAAGCTGGGAAGAAGGCCTTGAACGCTGCGGGAGACCGTTCTGCTCAGGTCACCTTGGCCCGCAGGGTAGGGACCTTTATTTCCTGAAGTAGGAGGCAGCTGGCAGACGGGGTGCGGGGGGTGGGGGGGGCGCGGGGAACAAACCGGTGGTCTTGGATTCTCTGAGTCACTTATGTGAGGATGTCACGCGCTCCAGATCCCTTTTGGTTGAATTAAGACGCTTCTCACAACCACAATCCGTGGGGATTGCAAATTCGTGGCCCTCAGGCTGAATTTGGCCTGTAGATATGTTTGATTTGCGAGCACAAGGTTTTAAAATTGTGAAATTTGAATGCCTTTAGGCTGGACACACCTTTTCCGCTTGGCCACGGTCTGTCCCCTCCTTTTGTATCACACCCATCCACTTCACTCATTTTCATGCACTGCCTGGCCTCTAAAGACTGAGTATGCCGCCTCCAATCCAGCTACCAGCACCTGACCCCCATTTTTAAATGCCAAAAACCAGGTTTGCCATCTGGCTTGTGGGGAGATTCATTCCTGCTTCCTGGGTGCCAAGCCTCACATCTGGTCCCACTGAGAATGGTTCTGCTCAGAGACCAGTGTTCTTATCTGCCAGGGTCAATGCATTCCAGGCACAGGCTAGAAGTGTCAGCCAAGATACCAGTCTTGTGTCAGAAGCCTTGACCGTGTGCATGTGAGAGGCCACACATCTCATGGGCTCTCCCTTGTGACAGGGACCAAGCCATTTCCGAAGTGCCCAGTACATCCCACCATGAAACGCTTATCTCCAGTAATTTCACTGGAAACTGCCCTCAAGTCTTTCTTGTTTTTTACCCCCAATTTATGGATGAAGGAATGAAGGCTGGAGAGGCAGTTACCCTGCCCACCGTCACCGTTGCTGGGAAGTGGCAAAGGCCACATTCAGCCCCAAGCCTGTCTCCAAAGCTCAACTCCTTTGGAATTTCCAAAAGGGGACTGCTTTGCCTCTGAGGGGAGATAAACAAAAGACACGAGCAACAGGAAAATGTGGAGGTAGCAGTGTGGAGATTACGGACACTTGTGCAATTTCATGGAGCCAGGGAGCGAGGCTATGCACGTGGGTGGGTTTGAGCTGTGTGTGCACACTTACGAAGGTGGTATGGGCATGAAGTGTGCTCTGTCTGCATCAGTGTTCACGCATGTACACATGTTGCCCACGAGTGTTGTGGGTTCGTTTAGTCCAACAGTGTGCGTGGCACAGCTGCTCTGTCCTTAGATGAAGGAGGGGCTGCAGGGAACAGCCCTCAGGTCACTGCTCCAACTAGAGCTCACCTAGTGATCACAAAATGGCCGAGAAATACGTGGAACGAGGTAATCTTGAGTTTTACGAAGAACAAAGCAGAGCAGTGTGAGAGAATGTGATGAAGAGGAGGTGGTGAGCAACCTTAAAATAAGGCGACCAGGTCAGTTGTCTGAGGAGGGGAGGTTGGAGCTGAAACCTAGTGGAGAAGAGGGTGGTATGGGAAGACCTGGGGGGTGGCAAGTGTCACGGGTGGAGGAAAAGCCCACCTCGCTGTGTGTCTGTGTGTCCCCAGCAGTGTGGTCATGAGGCTGATCCCAGATCTCCTGAGATCTGTGGATCCAACCCCACCTCACCTGGCCCATGATTTCCCTTTGTCTGCCGGCCTCCTCCTCCACCCAGACAGCAGCCGTCACCTCTGCCTGCTGCAACCCTCCCTCTTCTGAGCTTTCCTTAGTCCTCTAACTGGAAGTGATTTCTCCTCCTCACCCCCATCCTGCTTTGCTGTGCACATAGAGACTGCCTTTCCACCTGTGTCAGCACCCTGAGGACCCTTGCTGGGCGGCTAACCTGAAAACTGCCCTCTCCCACTGATGGAGGGCTGGGGAGGGCCCCCCGTCCCCACTGTTCGTCGGTCTCCCCACCCCCACCCCCAGTAATGCAGCTCCACAGCTTTCTCTGGAACTTTATTTTTGTTTTCTCCCTTCCCTATTTATAGCTCTCTCCCCTTCAAACCATCCCTGCATCCATCCTGTTGCCTAGAAACGGGCTCTGGGCTGAGGGTGGGGGAAGGCCAGGCCGAGCCCAGGCAGGGGAAGGAAGAGCTGTCACCCACTCCCCTGTTAGCACCACCCCCAGGCTCCCAGAAGCCCACCCCTCCCTCTGCCCAGCACCCATGGTGTTTTTTTAAAAGAGAAAACAAAATGTGACAAGCAGCAGCCTTTGGGAAGTCCTCCCTGGCTCCTCAAGGGCACCATGATCATGATTTCACTCGCACCTGTCAATAGCCTATCCTGCCTGAAGCCTGGACCCATTTTTTCAGATGAAGAAAGGGAGGTTTCAAGAAGCAAAAGTCTTGCAGCCCAGGTACCCTCTCAGTGGCAGCTCCATGCTGTGGGGTTGAGAGCCTTGGGATATCGGCCTGACACACTGAAAAGAAAGCTTGAAAGCATCAATCATTCTGTAATTATTTACTTACAGAAGGATGGAGGGAAAAAGTTTACAACAAACCTGCCACACAGCAAGCCACTGGCCATGCATCCACCATGCCCTCTACCATGCGCCCTACCATGCCCCTGCAGTCCCCCCACCTACCTCCTACTGTGCGCCCACCACACCCAACTGCAGCTTAACTTCTGGCCCTAGTGCCTCCTTCCACAGATTGGACCAGGCCTGCTTCCTGACTCCGTCACGCCACCAACTGTGGCAGCAGAAGTTCACATAACCTCTCTGAGCCTTGGTTTCCTGAGTCCCAAAATGAGGACTCCCCATAGGACTAGTAGGAGAATTACATGCAATACTGATGAGAAAGTGCTTTGTAAATTATAGAGTGCTGTAAATTGGGAGTGATCAGTTAGAATAGTTAATATTGTTTATTGTTGTTGTCGTTGTTAGGGCCAAGAGGTAGGGCAGGGGAGCCAAAATCAGCCCTGAGATTAGAGAGGGAGCCTCTGGCCAGTGTCCAGGAAGAAGGACTCCTTTCCCTGGCAGAATGAGGGACATGGGTGGGGGCTGCCTGGGCACACCTGCAGGATATCACGGAGTGGAGGAGGGCACAGAGGTCCTCTTGTGCCCAATTTCTCCCTCTCAAGTGCTCCATCCCTTATTGTCCACCCCCAACTCATTGTCCCCTGCCCTAAGGTTCAACTTTGCTTTCCAAATAAGCTCTCTGGGATAACTTGAGCCCAGGAGTTCGAAATCAGCCTGGGCAATATAGCAAGACCCTGTCTACAAAAAATACTAAAAATTAGCTGGGTGCAATTGCTCACACCTGTAGTCCCAGCTACTTGGGAAACTGAGGTGGGAGGATTGCTTGGGCTCAGGTACTGGAGGCTGCAGTGAGCTGTGATCATGACACTGTGCTCCACCGTAGGCAAAGCAAGACCCTGTCTCAAAAAAGAAAAAGAAAAAGAAAGGCTCTTGGGCAGTATGGGAGAGAGGGCTGCCAAGGAGCAGCTGGGCCATGATTCAGCCTGAGTCACCATCCAAATCCTGGAGCCTCCCTCATCCAGGTCAGGCTGCAGCTGCTGGGGGTGAGTGGGTGCAGCGAGTGGGGAGGGGGCCTGTGTGAGCAGCAGGCTGTGTGCATATGTGCCCAGGCCAGGGCTCTCGTGACCACCAGTGCAGCACTGTGAGGGCCTGGGGGCAGTGCCTATGAGGAGATCAGGGTGGGGAAGGTGACCCGATGTGCATCAGTTATCTGGGCTGACTGAGAAGGTCGGGTTTCCTTGTGTGTGTGCATGTGTGTGTGTGTGTAGCATGTGCACATGTATGAGGTTGTTGTATGTATGTCTGAGCGGGGCTAGAGTTTGACTCCCAACTTTGTTACTTTCTAATTGTGCAACCCTGGCAAGTTACTTAACGTCTCTGAACTTTTTAGTTTCCTCACCTACGAAATGGGAATAATTGTATTGTCTCACATGGTTTTCTTTAGGATTAAATAGAATGAGGTGAAGACTGTAAAACACGTATGTACAGTAAGTGGTATACTACCATCGTTGTCATCATCTGGGGAGTCCTGGGTGAGACATGGCACACAGGAGAACGGGTGTGGGTCCGAGTGTCTGTATTCAGAGGGTGCAGGTGTGTGGGGTCTGGGTATTTGTTATTTTTATTTTTAAATAAATTTTTTAAAAATTTCATTCAATCTTCATAGCCAGCTATGGGTAAGTATTTCTTGAAGGAGCGTGTGCGTGTATATGGTGTGTGCATCCCTGAAGCAAACACAAGAGCTTTACAGAAAGTTGGGTTTGTATGGCACTGCCTGCCCTCCACCACCCACACACACACACACACACCCCACACGTGCACACACACACAGCACACACCCCTAGTGGCTTCAATTTGCTGAAATATGGCCTAGACCAGGGCCAGTATCCAGGCAAAGAGTTCAGGAACTGTGGATGCTGCTGTGTTGGGAATCTCAGACCTTCTCAAAAGTTTTAGCCTCAAACAAAGCTAGAGTGGGAGTAGCCGCCTGGGTGTGGGAAGGGGATTGTGTTTTATGGAGGAGATATGAACGTGAAAGAGAGGGGGAAAGAGGGCAAGATACATATTTTGTGTGTGTGTGTGTGTGTGTGTGTGTGCAGGGGTGGCTTTGGGGGGTGGCTGCTGTCTCTGCTCTGGTACGGTCTGCTTGTCTCCATGGTGCCTGTTGCCACACACGCTTGCTTTTCAGAAAGTCACTGGGATTGTTTATTCCACCCCCGGCCTGGGCGCCAGCCAAGAAGCTGCAGGCACTTGTTTATCTTGTGGTGCGTACGAGTGTGTATGGCTCCCCAGCGGCAGAGCAACCCGAGATACATACACACACTCACATGGGGGTGAGTGACCATGTCGGTTGTCACAGGGTGAGCCTGAACCCTAGGATGAGTCACAACCTGGGACCAGATGGATTTTCTCCACACGGGGACAACGATGACCCCCAGCAATTCCAGGTGTATGCAGCACCGATTCAGCAAGGCCCAAAATTCCAGGAGAGTGGGAGAGGCAGGTGGCTTTGGTTCTGTGCTCCATCCCTGACCCCCCCCCCAGAACAAATCAGTGACCTGGGTCACTGCCCACCCTAGAGCTGGCACTGGGATCCATCCCACCCCACCACATGGGCTGGGGTGGGGAGGTGGTCTCCCAAGGAAAATGGAGGTGCCGTAGTCAGAAAAGGGTGCGCAGTGCTGGGCTTGCCATAACACTGCTGTCCACAGCAAGGGCATTTGGTGTATTTTTCATCCCTACATCTTCCTTACAGCTCTGAGAGCTAAGCATTGTATATGATGATATCGAGGCTAAGAGAAACTTCAACCAAGGCTACACAGCTAGTAACTGGCAAAGCCAGGACTGAACCCACATCAACTGCCTCCGTACCTGTTTTGAGCTCCTCTGCATTAGCAAGTGCTTTGTTTTGTTGTCTGGAAATTTTCATTATAAAAATGTTTTTATCAACAAGTCCCTATGGAACAAGAGTGGTTGCAGAGCATGGCAGAGGACCTAGATTGTAAAGAGGCTCCGATGTCCACATAGCAGGCACTGCCAGAATTCCGACCACATCCCCTTGGGTGCTCTTATCATTTTTGTGCCCACCAGCAGGACTCCCAGCAGCAGTACTGCATCTTTGTCAGAGAGATGCTGTCAGGCTGCTGGGACCCACTTTGCCCACATTCACTGTGGGCCAGGAGTGCCTGGGAATTAACACACAGCCCATGCAACACATTCCAGGGATGGCCCTTAACCAACATCTGCTGGTGTTGGGATATAAATACCCCACCTCCCTTGCCCTCAGCCAGGAGAATTCCAAAATGTGTATTTACCCCATTTTCCAAGAGTTCGCTGCAGGATTAGGCTTCACTCACTCACTGTGGTAGCCGACTTAATAATAACCTCATACTGGCTGCCTTCCCTTCCTGGGTCACCTTCCCACTCCCCTGCTGGTGTCCTTGCACCTCACAAATAAACCACATGCCTTTGATCTTTATCTCCAGGTCTGGGAGCTGCCCTGGGGTTCTGGAGCCTATCCCTGCCTTCCACCTGAGCATCCAGGCCCAACCCTGGTCCTCTCTTTTGCTGACACCTTGCCCTTTCCCTCTGTACTGGGCACCTTCCATCAGAATTTAAATGCCTTCAAGTCTCCTTCATCTCAAAATCCCATCCCTCTGGAGAGACTGTCATTCCTCTTTTCTCTCTCAAAGCTCAGACTTTCTGAGGAAGTTGTCTACTTGCCCACCCCATTTTCTTACTCCCATTTCCTCATCAGCCTACCCCCGACCATGGCTGCCTTCCACCCCCCTACTCCACTGACTGCATCTCATCAACTTTCAAAGTCCAGAGGACACCTTTCAGGCCATATCTTGTCTTCTTGATGTGGTTGACCCTGCCTGCTTTCTGGAACACTCTCTCCCTTGGCTTCTGAGCTATAACACTCTCCTGGGCTGCTTCTGGCTTCTCAGATCACTGCTTCTCATTCTTTGCTGCAGCCTCCTTTTCCCAGCCAGTCCCTTCATGTTGGTGTGCCTCAGAGTTGGCCTAGGGCCCTTGTGTCTCCCTGCCTGGTGTGTACTATCCTCCCACGTGCCGACACCCCTCCCATGACCTCCAGCACCAACTGGAGGTGGATGGGCTCCCTTGTCTGACTTCAGCTTTGGCCACTACAGAACTCAGTTCTGGACTCAAATATATCAGCACGGCCATCCTATAAGCCCCCTTTTCCCCCCAGAACTCGTAAGTTATCTGTCCTTCATCCACCTGGCTCCCCAAGGCAGAATCTCAGAGAGACAGCAGAGATCTCTCTCCCCTCCCACCCACATCCACCTCATGGTCAAGCCCTATTGATTTTAACCCCTAAACAGTTATCCAATCTGACCCCTCCTCTCCATCCCCTACAAATGCTGCCGTGGTTCAGGCATCGTCATCGCTCACCTGAACACCTGCCACAGCCTCTTCACTCCTGCCTAGTCCCTGCTCCTGTCCACCCTCGTCCTGTCCCAGGGGGACCTTTTTCGATCACAGGTTGGTTCTTGCCACTTTTCGCATCTGTGAACTTCTCCAAGCCTTAATTTCATTTGTGTCATGGAGCCAGTAATGTTTACTTTGAAGGGCTGTAGGGAGAAAAAAATGAAATGATGAATGTGGAATAAGGGTTTGTAAGCTCTGAAGCGAAATGGCCTTGTGGGCAGTGAATGAGCAATTTTCAGGACCGGAAATGTGAGGAAGCAGCCCCGGTGTGGTGCTGTCCGTGGTTCTGAAACCGGTCCGACACGCTGAGGTTTTCTCCTTCCCTGGCGTGCTGCCTGGAGACGCCAGTCCCACGGAGTTTCTTCATTTACCACTTAGAATTTTTTATATATATATATTAAGGATCACGGTGACTTAGGGTTCACTAAGTAAGAGAGGGGAGTAAAACATAAGAATAAGACGTGAGGTTTCAGGAGTTAGACTGCATGGGTTTGTAATCCTAGCCCCACTACTAACTAGATGTGTGACTGCAAACAAGTTACTTATCTGCTTCTGTTTTCTTACCTGAAAAATGGAGATATAATACATTAATATTAACTTGCTCCTAAACGATTGGAAATTGAAATTAGATAAAACCTGTAAACAGAATCTTAGCGCCGTGTCTGGCCCTACATAAGCATCATTGCCAATAGTTGTTACTGTTAATTAATAGATGGTGGTGGCTTCATAGTACCGGTGCGAGAGGGTTTTGTCACATCTAGGGCAATTACGGAATTATTTTTTCTCCTCTGGGAAGTCAAGGGGAAGGGAACTCCTTCTCTGCAGGAAAATGTGGAGGGGGTGGGCAGCGAGTCTCCGTGTCCTTGGTGATTCAGATACCACTGGAAGTCCCTGAACACCTACTTTGCCCTTCCAAGACCACCACGAGGTGCTTAATGTTAGTTCTGTTTTACAGATCGGGAAACTGAGGTGCAGAGAGGCGAAATAATTTGCCCGAGGGTACCCAGGGGGAGGGGGCGGGCCCCCCGACTGGGAGGCCGCAGCCAGGGACTGGAAGACGCCTCTGCCGCACCACTACCTCCAGGCGTCCCCGCCATTCGCTGGAGCGTGGGCAGCGGCGAGACAAAGGGCCGGGGGCGGGGAAGAGGAGGCCGGAAGTGCGACCAGGGGTGTGGGGGGCGGAGGCGGGAAATTTCCTCGCTGGCGGAGCCGGGAGATCGCGCCGACCTGGGTCCCCATCCAGGCGACGCGAGTCCTCGGCAGGCGACTGCCCCTCTCTGAGCCCCAATTCCCTCCTTGGTCAAGCCAGGCGAGGGCATTCGAGGGGCTGGACTGAGATCTGCGAGACGGCGCGCCCCGCCCTCAGCAAGCGCGCAGCAAAGGGGCAGCCTCTCCGGCCCTCAGTCTCCCTGTCTGTGAAGTGGGAACCCGCCTGAGGACGGCGAGGAACCCAGGAGCCCAGGGGCCGCAGTTAGGGTTGGCCAGCGAGGGGCGCCCCTCCCTGGCTCCCTCGGGCCGCGGTTTCCCCGCGGTCACCGCCCCCTCGCGGTTCCGAGGCGGCCGGGCAGCCAGTGCGCATGCCCGGGGCGGGGCGCGGGGCGGGAGCGCAGAGCCGGCGCGGGGGACGGCGGCGCGGAGTCTGCGGGTCCTCCCGCCAGCCCGGCCGGAGGCAGCCGAGGCCGCTCGGGCGGCGGCGGCGGCGGCGGGAGCCGGAGCGCAGCGCGCCCAGGAGCCGGAGCAGCGGCACTGCCTGGTAAGCGCCGCGCCCACACCCGCTGTCTTTCCCGGCGGGCGGCGGCAGCCCCTTCATCCGCTGGCTGCCGCCCCGGAGCCGCTGTCCAGGGTCCTCGAAGCCCCACGGCGGCGGGGCTCAGACATCGCGCGCGGCATGAGCCCGGGTGTGTGCGCGCGGCAGGGGGCGGTGGGGGTCTTGTTTCCAGGCTCCTTGCCGGGGCGGGTGGGGCGGGGCGGGGGCGGGTCCCGCAGCCCCGGGCCGAGCATCCGAGGGGCCTGGCGGGCCAGGCTGCCCTGGCTGCGGGGTCGGCCCCGCGCCCCGCCTCGCCGCCGCCCGCTGGCTTTGTTCGGCACGGCCGCGCGGGAGGGGGGCGCTTCCCGCCACTGGGGGGAGGGCGTCCTCCCGCGTTGATTCATCTTCCCCGGAGCGAGCTCAACGATCCACTGGCTCCACTCGCACTACTGAGCACACTGGCCGTCACACACCCATTGTGGCACACACTCCGGGGCGCGATCACACACTCACCACCGCGTTCACGCACGGGCGCCTCATTTCCTCCAGTGAGGCCACAGGTCTACACACACACACACAATGGCTGTTGGTCATTCCATTAGACTCATACACACAGCCACCTGTCACCCAGGGTACTGGGTGGGAGCCTTGCGTACACACCCAGGCACAGCTACGCACTCAAACCAGCCATCGCGGATCACAGCATGGTCCACTCAACAATACTCCCCGATCACAACACACTCGGGGCCACCCTGCCCTGGCCTGCTCACCCCTGCTCATGGTGTCCCTTGCGTACCCGGAGACCCTGGAGTAGACTGCCACCCTTGTGCACACACTCCCTGTTACACACACACTCCTTAGCGTGCTGCCCACTCCCACCTACACTGTCCCACGTTTGCACGTCCATGAACGTCCTTTCTTGCCCTCCTATGTATGTATGTATGTATGGTCTGAGGACCGTTTCTGGAAGAAGGTCTGGCTAACACCTTTAGATTCCTTCTGCCCCGACATCCCAGAGCAGGAGACTTTGCTGCTCTGAGGGCACTAGGAGAGAAGGGGACAGGGGGCAGCAGACTGAGATTCTCAGACGTACACGACTGCCGAAGCCCCTCAAGCCTTTGTTGGTCTTGTCAGCATAGGAAGAGGTATTTGCAGGTGCTTGGCAGCTCTGGCCCTGTTTATGGGTATAAGGATGGCTCTATGCTGGAAAGAAATCCTAGAGGGAAAGGAATGGCTGGCCAGGTCTCTGTGGCCTGAATGGGCAGTCATAGGGGCTGCTGCTCTCCCTGGGAGCAGGACACAGGCACCTGTGCAACACCCAGATAAGCTCTCCCAAGAGTGAGATGCCCACAGGGTCCAAGTAGCCCCCATGAGGCAAAAACACACAGGCCATTCTGCACATGCAGAGTGGACATACACAAAACAAGCTCTTCTTGAGCAGAACACAGGAGCCAGGTCCTGGCCCCAGAGTGGCCCAAGCTGGTACATATATCCACAAGCAGTCTGCTCACTCCTCTGCACAGCAGGTGAGCCCGCCCACATACCTAGCAGTCATTCCTACCTTCTGCCTCAGTCGGGCCACACTCAGCCTGTTTGTGCCCAAGTGTGCAGGCTCATCTGCTCAGAGGGTGTGCACATTCCCACAGCTGGGGGAATGTAAGCAGGGGCATGGGGAGCTCCTGCTGCTTCTACTGCGTGCTCCTTGGCACTGTTACTTGGGAGAAGCCTTGGCCTGACCTCAAAAACCAGAAAGGGAGTTTTAAGAACCAAGTGTCAGGCCAGGTGCAGTGGCTCATACCTGTAATCCCAATACTTTGAGAAGCCCAGGCAGGAGGATTGCTTGAGGCCAGGAATTTGAGACAAGCTTGGGCAACATACCAAGACCCCCATCTCTACAAAAACATAAACATTAGCTGGGTGTGATGGCGCATGCCTATAGTTCCTTAGGAGGCTGATGAGGGAAGACTGCTTGAGCTGAGGAGTTGGAGGCTACAGTGAGGTATGATTGTGTCACTACACTCCAGCCTGGGCAACAGAGTGAGACCCTGTCTCAAAAAAAAAAAAAAAAAAAAAAAAAACAGAGCCAAGTGTCAGTGTCCACAACCTTAGAAAGAACCCAGGCTTTGTGCTTGGGCACAGTTGGCTTTGAACCACAGCCTTCCTCCCTCCCACCACAGCTGTGTGCCCTTGGTCAAGTCTTCTCCCTCTGACTTCAGTGGCCTCATCTGTGAAATGGGATGATAACACCACCCTCATGAGATTGTTGTGGGATCCAGATGATAAAAAGAGACTGAGACTGGGTGCAGTGGCTCACGCCTGTAATCCCAACACTTTAAGAGGCCGAGGTAGGTGGATCACTTGAGGCCAGGAGTTCAAGACCAGCCTGGCCAACATGGTGAAACCCTGTCTCTACAAAAAATACAAAAGTTAGCCTGGTGTGGTGGCACATGCCTATAATCCCAGCTACTCGGGAGGCTGAGGCAGGAGAATCACTTGAACCTGGGAAGGTGGAGATTGCAGGGAGCTGAGATCATGCCACTGCACTCCAGCCTAGGCAACAAAGCAAGACTTGGTCTAAAAAAAAGGAAGTCAGTGAGCATGCTGGGCCCAGGTAATGGAGCTAGATTGTAATGGGATAGTCGCAGGGAGAGAATGTGGGGCCCCAGGCCTGGGCTGCCTCTCGGAGAAGCAGCTCGAGGATCCTCAGGCCTCCCTAAGATCTAGGAAGGGCCCAGCAGAACTGTGAGCAGTAGAGCCTCTGGGAATGGTCTTGGGGCATTTCTTAAACCCAGGGCTGGCCTATAGCTCTTCCAGATATAACTACCTCCCTTCCCCCATTTCACAGATTGGAAAACTGAGACCCATCGAGTAGAAAAACTTACTCGGAGTCATAGAGGATGTCAGTGACTAAGCTGGGGCTTGACCCCACATCTTTCTACCTCCCTGACCAGGCTCTCTGTCCCTACCCTGGACTTTATCCCATCTCAGAGGCTGGAAAATACAAGTTGGAGATGGGGAAGCCTAGGGACTTTCAAAAGGGGCACGTTATCAGCTGAGCCAAGCTTGCCTTTCAGAACCTGTTTCTTCCTCTGGAAAACAGGACTACAACACCTGCCTGGCAGGTGGGTGGGATTTTCACATAGTAAGGGCTTGATTTGTACAAGGTCACCTCCTGCCTTTCTTGGCATCGAGGTCCAGGGTCCAAACTCAGGTGGCTACAGGCCAGGAGGGTGACATACATGAAGGGCCGGCTGTGAGAAAAACGACAGTGCAAATTCCATGATTGATGGCAGCAGACAGTCAGCCTCAGTGTCTAGGACACCATGGGGAAGGGGGGCGGATTGTGGCTGTTTGGGGAGTACACCCCCATCTAAGGAGGCTGTCCCTTCGGGGCTCCAGCTGAATGTTGCCAGGCAGGAAGCACGCTCAGATTGCCAAATTTTCGTTTTCCAAGAGAAGCTGGAAATCTTACTGTCAAATGAAATCTTCTAATGTTTAGAAGTTAATCAGTTAATTCCTTTTTAAAACTGATTTTAAAATGTGTTTAGCGCTGTGGGTCAAACAAGCACGTCTGAGGGTCAGGTTTTGCTGGTCTGTGTCTGCTGCAGGCCCTTTCCTCCCCTGCCCCCTCCTGGGAGCACAGCTGGGCTCTGACAGGCCGAGTAGATAAAAACAGGCCTTCCACAGACACAGACCAGCCCTAAAGTGAGCAGAGTCAGGCACACTCCTCATTTTCTTTAATTCTCATTATAGCCCTCGGGGAGCAGGAGGTGGGCTCTTCAGGGTCCCCTAGGAGGAGAAGGGCGTTGCTTGAAGTCACAGAGCTGATAAGCGGTGGGCTGGCCTGACTTTCTGCCCGGGCTTCACCCAGGAAGAGGAGCTTGTTGGCTGGGCTGGTGTGTGAGGACTCCAGGGTTGGGCTTCCAGGGCTGAAATGAATGGTACTGAGGGCCCAGAGCACCCTTCCTATATCCTTTGCTGACTTCTTCCAGCTCCAGCTAAGCTTCCTGTACACCAGCCAGGCAGCTGTTGAATTCCTATTTTCCAGAGAAGGAAACAGGCAGGCATGGGAGGCAGATCCTGGCCCTCACTGGAACCTGGGCCCTTTCTCTCTCTCCCTGTCTCTCTGTTTTAAAGACAGTTTCTTGTTCTGTTACCCAGGCTGATCATAGCTCACTGCAGCCTCAAACTCCTGCACTCAAGAGATCCTCCTGGCTCAGCCTCCGGTACAGGCAGGACTATAAGTACATGCCACCACACCTGGCTAATTTCTTTTTTTTTTTTTAATTTAAATTTTTTGTAGAGATGGGATCTTGCTATGTTGCCCATGCGGGTCTGGAACTCCTGGCCTCAAGCAATCATCCCACCTTGGCTTCCCAAAGCACTGGGATTACAGCCGTGGCACTCAGCCCCGGGGCCCTTTCCCTTGACCATCTTCCCAGTCACCCTAGTGTATAACGTCCTTTTCCATAGCCCAAGGACCAGATGGATCAGAGGTTGCAAGCTGGCGACCTAGGGGTCAAAGTTGGCTCATGAAAGTGTTTTGGCCGGGCGTGGTGGCCCATTCCTGTAATCGCAGCACTTTGGGAGGCCAAGGCAGCCAGGTCACTTGAGGCCAGAAGTTCAAGACCACCCTGGCCAACGTGGGGAAACTCCGTCTCTAATAAAAATTTTAAAAATTAGCTGAGTGTGGTGGTGTGTGCCTGTAGCCCCAGCTACTTGGGAGGCTGAGGCACGAGAATTGCTTGAACCTGGGAGGCAGAGGTTGCAGTGAACTGAGATTGTACCACTGCACTCCAGCCTGGGCGACAGAGTAAGACTTGGTCTCAAAAAAAAAAAAGTGTTTTGTTTAGCCTGTATGATATTTTTTAAATGAGCCAATATTTAAAATACAGATATCCAGGCTGGAATTACAGGCTCATGCCTGTAATCCCAGCACTTTGGGAGGCCAAGGCAGGCAAATCACCTGAGGTTGGGAGTTCGAGACCAGCTTGACCAACATGGAG